GGAGAATAGCGTGAAGGCATTGGGGTGCACCGTGCTCGAAGTAGAGCCAAAGGCAGCAAGTCAATCCAAGATAACTGGGTTTCTTGACAAAACCTAGGTAGAGTGGTCTTGATGGTCCGATTCATGCGCTCAACTTTCCCTGAACTTTGTGGCCTTTAGGCTGTGTGGAGCTTCCATTTGATTCCCAGAGCTTTGGACTGAGTCTGGTCTATCTCAGACACAAAGGCAGGTCCATTGTCAGATCCTATAGAGAGGGGCAGCCCATATTTTGGAACAATTTTCCTCAACAAGGCTCTAGCTACTTCTCATGCCCGTTCAGTGTGTGTAAGGAAAGCTTCAGCCCATCCGGAGTAAGCGCCAAGTAACACAAGCAAGTATCGGTGGCCCCAGCAGGGTTTGACCTCAGTAAAGTCCATTCTAGGTCTTGAAAGGGCGTAGTCCCAATGTTTACACCCTTGGATTGGATTTTGGCCTTTGCCGAGCATTGTTTTGTGAGCAAGTTACACATCTAGCACTGATCTTGGCACATCGGGTTGGAAGCTTGGGTGTGAAATAGCAGCAGCCTAACAGACTTTCTAAAGTGGTCTTCCCTAGGTGAGGCAACTTATGGTGTTGTGTTACCAGCTGAGGTGACACTGCAGTGGGAATATAGAGTTTTTGATCTGCTTGCTCCTACCAGCTCTCCTTTCTCTTGGCTCCCCCTTCACTTAAGGCCCATTGTTCTTCCTTGGTGTATGCTGGTGCTAGGAGAATCTTGGAGACTGGCTCAGGACCCATACTGGCACTTGATTGGAGAATCTTGAAGACTGGCTCAGGACCCACACTGGCTCAGGACCCATACTGGCAGCGTCTTTAGCTGCTTGATCTGCCAGTCGGTTTCCCCTACTGACAGGGTCGTTTCCTCTCTGGTGGTCTTTGAAGTGAATGACTGCCACCTGAGAAGGCTTCCAGACTGCCTCTAACAGTTGAAGGATTTCTGTTTTGTTCTTGAGCTCTTTTCCTCCTGCCGATAGTAGTCCCCTCTTTATAAATGGCTCCATGTAAATGAAAAGCAGCAAAGGCATACCTTGAGTCATTGCAGATGTTGGCCTCTTCAGCCTGCCACAGTGCCTAGATGAGTGCCTATAGTTCAGTCCACTGTGCTGACCAACCCCGTGGCAGAGCCTCAGCTCTGAACACCTCATCTGTGGTTGTTATTGTGAAGCCTTTGCTCTGTCCTTCATAGATGAAGCTGCTCCCATCGGTGAACAGTATCAGTTCTGTGTTCTGAACAGAAATGTCAATCAGGTCCATCCTGCTGGAGTACACATCATCCTTGACCTCTTCACAATCATGATCAGGAGGTCCTTCTACAGTGGCCAGAAAAATAGTAGGGTGCAACACCCACACAGTCTCAAGGCGGACATGTGGGTTTTCGCAAAGCAGTCCCTGATAATGAGTAATCCTAGCCTTGGTCAGCCACTTGTGTCCCTGATTATTCATTAATGCAGTAACAGCATGGGGGACCTTTACATTTATATTTTGTCCCAGCGTGAGCTTGTCCACTTCTCTGACCAGGACTACCATGGCAGTTAAGGCCCAGAGGCATGGTGGCAATTCAGCAGCCCCCAGATCTAGCTGTTTGGACAGATATGCAATCGGGCGCTGTCATGGC